GAAAATGCATTTATCAGAAATTTCAATGCCCCATGACAAAAAGGAAGTTAATTTATCCAATTTTATGAATCTCTTTACCCTTCCCGCTGCAGCTATATCGAAAAAAAGTGGGCATAAATTCTGAGTGATGATGAACACCCATCTGGTGGAAGCATTGCCAAGCCAAAATTCCATTGGTGGGTCTCCTAATAAAGTTTGGAAAAAACTGCTTTAGAGATAGAATATGTACTGCCAATTTGGGGGGGGGGGAATCTACCAAAGAGGGGAGGGCTCCTCACCAAGGGAAAAGAAAGATTTATCACTCAAAACCGATGGGTGTTCATCTGCTCCTGTCTAGCTGCTTTGGATTCCTCAACTAGCTGCCCCAATATTGGCACTTTCTAAAGAAAAGGGAAAAAAACAGCTCTGGATCCGAGAAGTAATTGGATCAAAATGTAAATGGTAACTGTTGTGAAGCATGGGGTAAGAGTTAATATTGAGAAATATTCAAACATGTAATTCCCTGCCTACAGACTGAAGTTAGGAAATAGATATGGCCCAATAGTCTATCAAGGAATAAATATTATTCAAACTGAAAAAGGGGGACCATACAGAAGTGGGAGTGAGGGGAGCCAATTATGTATATTTAAAAACAGCACATTTGAAAAAATCCTCATGTTCTAAGATTGTTTTTAAAATAAAGACATACCTGGACATACTTCTTGCCTTCTGCCTTTCAATATCAATGCCTTTCCTATACACTGAAACACAACTTCTAGCTTGTTGCCACAACAAACAGAGATATAATTACATTTTTTGTGGGGGGGACTTGTAATACTTAGAGAGTTTCCATATAATTTGTAAGATTTGGGAAAGCCCAGAATTGCAAGACATGTGGTACATTGCAAAAGTTAGCAATGCACACATGATCTAATATTGGTTTCTCTGGGACAACTTGCCTCTCAACACCAGCCCTGATCAAGCATTGATAGTTCCATAATGAAAAAAGGTGAGGCAGTTAGGGTGACTTACTGTGGCAGAAGAGGGGAGCTTCCTCACTCCAGTTTCCCAAGTGTAGCTGCAATATATTCTGGTCTACTCTCAATTTCTCTTCTCACAGAAAGCTGGGAACAACTACAGACCTCCTCCCTCTCTTCTCCTAAAGGGCTGCATGAGGAAATAACCTGTTATGTGAAGAGACGGCTGAAACAGTCATTCTGAAAGTGCTCCAGGCATTGTACATGATGCAGGGAAAGTGTGTGTTACTTGTCATGTACACTATACAGTAGGCCTTTCCCCCTCCTCACTTTTCCATGGCAAAATGAGAAGCACTACAAACCCCTGCAAAAATATTTTTATTGGAGACAATGGCAGGACACAATGAGCACACTGGACCATCACCTCTATGTCTCGGGCAAGTTGTTGTAAGTACACAAGCAATGGCTTCTATTGCTGCACTTATTTATTTACTTTTCCTGTGACTATGGGCCATTATAATCCTGCGAACTTCTGGCCTAGATCGAATCCAGGTTTGTCATCATATATATGTGCATTCAACAGAGAGCTGTTGCTGTCTCTGGGCTGTGTTGGGCTCTGCTGTGGTCAAAGGCAGGGCAACGTCTCTGCTTTGGGGTTGGAAAGAAATTGGTTGTGTACCCCATACCCTCCAACATTTCTCCGCTGAAAATAGGAACATCCTAAGGAAAAGCGGGGTACCAAGGTCAAATCAGAAATTGGAATGGCTTCTGTAAATCTGGGACTGTCCCTGGAAAATAGGGACACTTGGAGGGTCTGGTATCCTCAAAAAATGTAGAAATAAACTCTAATATTCTTATTGGAATTGCACTATTGATATTGTCCAACTGTACCTTACAGGAGTAGCCAGCATGGCATATTCCAGATGCTGATTAAGAAGACACCATGTTCAGTACCCTCATCAGAGCTGCCACCATTATGGGTCCAGACACTTTTTAAAGTTCCTGTGGACTAGAGGGTAAATTCCTGTACTAAACTAACCGTCATGTGTGCTGCTCAGCAACTTGAACGAGGTATCCTGGAATGTTCAAAAGGACTTGCTATGAGAATGCCAAATAATATTGCTAGTACAAAAATAAAACCAGGAATCTTCAACTCTCCATGACTTAATCTGTGATATGGTCTACTACATCCTGAATAGTTTTGTAAGCAATAATAGAACCATGGAGGCTAAATTGATACACCCATAATATTGTTGTACCTCCTCTCTTCCAAGCAACACTCATATTACTTAATGATCTGCAGATATTTTGGCTCCGATGTGCTTCTGAAATGCACGCATGACCATTCAGAACCATCCTCTAGGAGTAAGTGTTGTGTAAATTCCTTCCCACCTTATTATTATTATTCCTATTCAGCCTTATAGAATGATGAAGGGCAAAGAACTTTGAACATTCTTAGGTCAACCCGGGGGATTTGAAGCTATGCCTGGGTGGAATCTAACCTTTGTGAATCAGAGAAAAGGCATTTGCAATATGTTAAGAGCTCCGTGTTGTTTTAAAAAATGGCAACAGCTTGGAGATCAATATCAAGGACAAATTAAGAGCAGGAAAATACATACATCTTCAGTTTACAAAACTCGGCGGAATAGGTTCCTGTTTCCCTAGTTTTAGAGAAAGGTTTGGATTTGGATATCTTCCTTCAGCAATTGTTTCTATCCAGCAAGAAGCCCTACATGGGTCAGAACATCTGGATGAGAAGACAGATTCATGTGGGTAGGAAGAGAAAAAGTCTAAGTATACCAGGGCATAAGAAGAGTCCTGATCGATCAGGTCAAAGACCCATAAAGACCATCACACGAGTCTCACAGTGGCCGACCAAGTCTGCAATTAAAGCTTGAGTACAACATCACACTCCTCACTTGTGGTCCTCACCCTAATTCCTCTGACACTGGAGAGACTGCACAGCCATCACAGGAAGTAGCCATTGATGGCCTCATCCTCTACAGTGGTACCTCGGGTTAAGTACTGAATTCATTCCAGAGGTCCATACTTAACCTGAAACTGTTCTTAACCTGAAGCACCACTTTAGCTAATGGGGCCTCCCGCTGCTACCGCGCCACCGGAGCACAATTTCTGTTCTCATCCTGAAGCAAAGTTCTTAACCCGAGGTACTATTTCTGGGTTAGCGGAGTCTGTAACCTGAAGCGTATGTAACCTGAAGCATATGTAACCCGAGGTACCACTGTATTAATATGTCAATTCATGGGAGGAGGATAGCTAGAAACTTTATTTGCCTAGCTACTAGCCATACCAATAAAATAAAATAAAATACACAGAGGATAAAACTAAATGTTTCCTTAGCTGCTACAAAATACATTCAAGAGGTTTACAACCAATACAAATTACAGAACTGATACATGGTCCTTTAGCCCCAGATAAAACATGTGAACCTATAGGCTTTCTTTTGATTAAAACAACAACAGCGGAGCAATATTAGAAAGCTAATCAAATAATAGATCTTATTCTCATTGTCCCTGCTTAAAGTTTTGTCGTTTTTGCTGTCACTTGGTTATCTTTATCTGCTAGAAGAAAAGACATGGTAGCACAAGACTGAGCAGGATCCCAGAAAAGCAATATGCATGGTAAGAGAGAGAGAAGCAAATAGGCCAATTCAGGGATGGAGGTACAAGAGAAAACACCACCAAGGAACAGTTGGACAACCTGCCAGCAGCCTCCTCCTACATCCTTCATGGAAGCCACAGAAAGCTTGGTGTCAGAGAGTGAGAGAAATACATTTAAAGTGACCTCAAGGCAGCGTACGTTCCAAAGCTAAGGAGCTGCTCCTAGAAAGGAGAGACTTGCCCCTATTGCATTCCTTTGTGGTTCCTCTGATTTGCATTGCCCCATATTCCACTCTTCCTGAATTCTGGTTCAACTAGGATCATTCCTACAATTAGTTCTGAAGACGAAACATGCGCAGTTTGCTGAAGCTTTCCATTCCTTCATTTCATTTGAATCTTTGATTTTTGTCTCTGTTAACTATGTGTACACGTCCATGAATAAATCATTGCAAAAAAAACCCACCCTACCTTTAAATGTGAACATATGAGGGATTCTTTCTGTCCAATGATTTACTGATGCACTCATGCACTCTTCAGCAATAGCAAGACAGCACTATAGTCTTGGTGTCAAGAGAATCAGCTGCAGTTGCATCAAATTCTCCTTTTTAGCAATGTTTCATCAGTGCACAAAGGGCTCATGCAGTTTGTTAAAAATGCCACCAATATTCTTTTCCATACATGGTTTGGCTTGCTATGCACTGAAATCTAGTATGAGGCAAGCGTCATATACTGAGTTGTCAGTACGTTTATTTCTAGTGATCTTTTAATTATTTTATTTATGATTTTCAATTGTATACATTGCAAAAATTGTACAATCATTTTAACATTTCAAAACTTGACTTCCTTCCCCGCTTCCTGCGGTTCCTGAAATTTATTTTTAATATTTTTGCCATATCCAAATTAACATAATTTGCTCATTTATTCATCTACTTTAAATATATACTCTTTTAAAACTGCAGGTCATTACAATAATCCTGCCAATGCTCTTATCTGTTTACAGTTTATTTGTAAATATCTAATAAACCATTTCCATTCTTTTATAAAAAGTTTGTTCTCTTGATTTCTTATTTTTCCAGTAAGTTTCACCATTTCTGCAAATTCCATAAGTTTTTGTGTCCATTCTTCTTTTGCTGGGACTTCTTCTTCTTTCCATTTTTGGGCAAGTAACATTCTGGCCACTGTAGTTGCATACATGAATAAATTTCTAGACAGTTTGGGTAGTTCCGTCCCTATAATTCCCCAAAGGAATTCCCAAAAGGAATTATAGTGACCTTTTAAGCACTTAGTGAGATCACACACACCCCTTTCAAAACAGTGACATGTAAGATGCCCATGTTCAAACGTTCCTGGTCATTGCTATGTCCTGTGCTATAGGTGCATTGGCCAAGAAGTCAGAAGGATTCTCCAGGGTTTCAGACCTCATGCCCAGATAGCTCCGTTGGTTGGAGTGAGGTGCTGATAACGCCCAGGTTGCAGGTTTGATCGCTATATGTTCCTGCTTTGCAGAGGGCTGGACTAGATGATTCCTCGGGTCCCTTCCAACTCTACAGTTCTATGATTCCATACTCAGCCCCATCTGGAGATCCCAGGAATTGAACCTGGAAGCATGCAAAGCCTGCCACCGAGCTATGGTCCACAACACACACTGCCCTGAATGCAGGGCATTTTTTCAGCTGGGGAAAACTCTGTTCTGGCATCGCTCAGGTGGGCACCATTACCGTTACAGTGGAATCTCGGGTTAAGAACTTAATTCATTCTGGAGGTCCGTTCTTAACCTGAAACTGTTCTTAACCTGAGGTACCACTTTAGCTAATGGGGCCTTCTGCTGCCACTGCCGCACAATTTCTGTTCTCATCTTGAAGCAAAGTTCTTAACCCGAGGTACTATTTCTGGGTTAGCGGAGTTTGTAACCTGAAGCGTCTGTAACCTGACGTACCACTGTACAGTGGTACCTCTGGTTGTGAACGGGACTCGTTCCGGAGCCCCATTCACAACCTGAGCAGAACGCAACCCGCATCTGCGCGTGCCCGGGTCGCAATTCGCCGCTTCTGCGCATGCGCAGATGTCATTTTGAATGTCTGCGCATGCGCAAGCAGCGAAACCCAGAAGTAACCTGTTCTGTTACTTCCGGGTTACAGCAGGATGCAACCTGAAAAGATTTAACCTGAAGCAAACGTAACAAGAGGTATGACTGTATAAGAGAACAAGGGAGGCATTCATGGTGAGTTCCCACACCTCTTTTTCTAGAAAAATAGCACTGCCTGAGTGCATGGCTTCTGAGGTAATTTTGAAATGTACAAATTCTGTGATATCAGAACTGAACAGCAATTAGCTGAAATCCACCAGATTACTGAAAGCTGCTCAGGAGATGCTGTTCCATGGGCTTACGTTGTCTTTCTGAATTATTGGCTGGGATCCTAAATTCACTTGAAGAGGCAGAGTTCTACTGCTGCCAAGGTGAAGTACGAGAACTCCATTACTCTAAATAACGAGCAGGATGAACAATAAACAAAATGGTGCTTGCCTGAGGGGAACAAACCAAAGACATGCTTCCTGACATGTAGGTGCCTGACACCAGCACAAAGTAATGACAAATGGGCATGGCTTGCGGCCCATATCATGCAAGAACAATGCCAGAACTCTCTGTCCTTTTCCCAGTGTAATGACATTTTAATATCTTGACGTGCTAAGAAAGCATCACTGGATCACATCCATGGCTGATGCCATGGAGGTATTAAAAATTGGGAGTTTTATTAACAAAATGGCCACCAGATGGTAAGGAGAAGTTGCTGCTCCCCTTGCGTCTGCTACATGCATTCTGTTTGTTGTTCTTCCATTAAAAAAAAAAAAAACTTAGAAAAAGACTTTAAAATGCATACAATAAGCACCCAAAACCACGATTGTTTATAAGGAACATTGCACCAAAATAATAATAATAAGGGGGTACAAATCTCTGCTCTTCCATGATACAACAATACCAGTAACACATAATTGTACAATTATAAGATTAGAATAAAAATAAAATGAACCTAGCTTTATAATTGATTATGGTAGTTCTTCAGCAATGGGGGGAAATATCAACTGCCATTCCATTCTAAGTTTCATTCTACCCACTCTGATTCGTAATATATATGTCTGTTTCAAACAATTAGTTAACAACCTACACCCTTGTGCAAATTAATTGAAGCAAACATTGTAGTTTATTGTACAAAACTCACATATACATGTACAAAACTCACATATACGTACATTGGTAACAGATATGACCTCCGCTATTTTTAAGCAGCATTTGAACATGGTTTGACATGGAGTCTACTAGTTTTGAACAGTCATTGTTGATTTTCGGGTCCCTGGACCACACTTGAATCAGCGCCTGAATGAGCTTCTCCATAGTCATACAGTCTACAGCACAGAGGCGACTTTTGCATATAGCCCACAAATTCTCAATGGGATTTACGTCCAGGGAATTCCCTGGCCAATCAAGTACCTGTATTTATCACTCTGTCATGAATTTCTTCACCACTTTCGATGTGTGACAGGGGGCTAGGTCCTGCTGCAATATCGCAGTACCATCAGGATACCTCTTTTCCAGCTCTGGAATAACTCTCTTTCATAGAACCTAAATATATTGTGGCGATCACATCATTCCTTCTATTGGCTGCAGGCTTCCGATACCACAATGATCAACTGACTTTTCGTGTTTGTTCTGAGTACAGGATTACAAGTAAGATAGAAAACATGCTTTGTTTCAATTAATTTGCACAAAGGTGTATATTTCAATCATCATACTGGACAAGTTCCCTCCATTCACTATTTCTGAATCATTTTCACTAAAGAAAGTCAGAGTAGCATTTTAATGTCTTTTTTTTTTTTCATTTGTCTTTTCTATGCATATTAATGCCACACAAAGACATTTGTCCCGCTATTGCATTCCTTGAATTGTCATTAAGCCTTTGGAAGAAGAGAACTGTTTCCTTCAGAGCCCACTAAAGTTTGGCATAAGAAGTGCTAAACTAGCTTGAAAATTCACTGTTTCCATCAATATTTCCTTCAATTTGTTTTAAATACAGTACATATAAACATTAAATAGGTTTTGTTACTGGATGCCAAAGAACCCATTGTAGGAATTGTTCCATGACTTTAACAAATGCATTGATTTGAGTGTCCAGTTGCAACAAAATTGACTTATTCACTCTGGATTTTTGTTTTGTTCTGTACTGGACACACCATGGAGACCAGCTCTGAATGGGGACTTTCCGAACATTTTTAGTAGAGTCTGTAAACAAAGAGGATCAAATGTCTGGACTTGAGATTTCTCCTAGTGAAAGATTTGCCTTCCTTATAGTATCATTTTCAGTTTTAAGTACAGCGTGATCCCTTCTGCTTTGTTAACCAAACTGAGTCGGATATACATACCATAAACACACTAATGCCTTTTCCCATTTTCCAAAGAGAAAAGAGAAGGGATTCTTTTCTTCTAATGCTTGTGGATGGAGAGAGTTATCAAGGTTTATGTTTCATTGTTTCATTGTCTTGCTTAGCATAGCAATGAAATTAAACTGTATGATGTAACAAAAGTCAGATTATATCTTAGATTCTGTATTCTACATAGGAGCCAACTCCTAGGGGCTGCAGGATTTTTGCCCCCCTCCATTAAATATTTGAGGGGGCGGAGTGGAGCAGAGTTGATGGGCATTGCCATTCAAATGCTGTGTGTGCACCGCATCATGTGATCAATTTTGCAGGACAGGGCATTCCTCCCCCACCCAATATTTCATTCAAGTTGGCACCACCATTCTGTTTTTTCCACTCACAATACCTTCAGATTATTTATTTATTCAACTGTTGTCCAGTGTTAGATTTAGATTCACTATTTCAAGCTAAGCAAGGATGCGGTGTTAGGAAGACAAACACTGGTCTTCCAGTCCAACACTCTAACCCAAGGTTCCCCAAACTTGTGTTTGGACTGCAACTCCCATCATCCCTAGCTAGCAGGACCAGTAGCCAGAGATATTGGGAACTGTAGCCCCAAAACAGCTGGAGACCCAAGTTTGGGAAACCCTGCTCTAACCACTACACCACACTGGCTCTGTTACTCATTGGTGGTGGAGGGGTGCATTTCTGCTCCCTTCAAATATTTTTGGGGGGTACAATAGAGATCTCCTCATTGATTTGTAAAAAGGAAGCATGGATCCATGCGGAAAATCAGCAGTTTTTAATTCCTTCCCCAAATCACTGCGAAAATTTTTTACTGTGGTGGAAAGGTAGACCTGTCCATTAAAATTAAAGATCCTACCTATTACCCTTTTTCTCTTGAGTTCTGGGTGCTTTCCCAGTCAGCCTGGTTCTGTGTCTCAGCAGAGAGCAGGAGGGAAAGGTTTGCATTTCTTGGGCAGCCAAAGCACAGAATGACTCAAGACATCTTTGATGTCAACAAAAGCTGCTCCTTTTCCCTTATGGGGTATCCAAGAGCCCCTGTAGAGTCCTTAAGTGGGTTCCCTATCGGTAGGAGAAAATAACAGAGGCCAACCAGAGAATATTGAGAAGCAAAGCGGCTAGTAAGCCTGATCTTTATTGAACTGTTGCAACAGGGTCCTCACTCACTACATGCAGGAGAGAGGAGGGACGCAGAACAATGGTGTGCAAGCCCTTATATAGACTTTTGAAACTGCCTACCCTGTAGCTCAAGACTACCCCAAAAAACATCATACATACATCACAGAAGGAGGCGGTCTACAGCAGAAATCCTGTCTGCCAGGATACCTGACAATGGCCAGTGATTGCTTACTTGGGCAGCCTGGCCATTCTTTTGTGACGGCAAATACTTTAATTCCTGAATCCAGGTCACAGGCTATTCATACACAAAGATGCCCTAAAGAAAGGTAAGCAAAAGACAATGGAGAGGCTTTCCCATTTCCTTCCTCCTTGTAGAGAAACATTTGAGGTCAATTTGGGAGAGTCAAAATGGTTTCAGGGTTGTTCTCCTGTACTATTTCAAAACACGTGGTTTGCATACTTAGGTATGTGTTTGCCTTGTAAATTTATGAACATTTAATTTATATATTTGAGACCTTAAATTCTTATAACACCTTGTTAACAGCACGATGCAACTCAGAAACATGCAGGCCATCCCCAAGTCACTTTAGGAGTCAGGAAACATACTGGAATGATGCACATCCCCTGTACACAGCTTGCCGAATACAACTTTTCTTGTCACAGAACATGGATAATCTAAGTGAATGTGCTGGTTGTTTGGTGCAGGTGGCTTGCATATTCTTGTAAAATATGTCAAGTGTGAAGAGGCAGCTACCACCATATAGGATTAAAACAACAAGTCTTGTTCAACAGCAAGTCCAAATTAGTACATGGCGATCCCCTGTTATTTCCTACTGATATCCTGTTCTGCTATAGCTGTAAAGGTCACATTTGCCAATATTTACCTTGTTATCTCTTATGTACATCTCTTGCCTTTGGTATTTGAACTTCTGTTTGCGTATTTGTACAGTAACTACCACTC